TGCATCCAGTAGTAAACATTAGTCTATTGGTACATTGTAGTAATGCCCCTACTTTGCCTATTTTCATCAGTTGATCCGAGATGAAGATTCACATCCTGAATTCTTGTGAGTACTGGAAGCAAAGCAAAGTTCATTGTCGGTTTTTGGTATTTATTGGCTGATTATTAACTACATAATTATTTTTGTTACTTGGAGAGGAACATGATCTAATTTAGTTTAAAAAAACTTGACAAGCTTGAGTACAAAATTGAAGATTGACATCATCAGAAGTACTGTAATGGTTTACTAAGTCACTTAAAGATGACTTAGTTTTAACAAAAATAACAATCTAATCATCATTTTGATATTTTTACAAAAAGTTATAATTAATGATAATTAGAGTAATTTTAATATTGATTTAGCACATTTTGCTAAAAGTTTCTGTGCACTTTATATTAGAAATAAAAAATCTGGAATTGAGCAAAATACATTATTAAAAGATTTTCTGTGTTGCTTGAATGTGCTGATGTTAGCTGCTTGTCATTCCGAAGGGGAACAGAGGCACAGACAAATGACTGACATCTATTAAACTCTGTTGAATGTTGTGACGTTATGTAAGTTGAGAATATGATAAAACAGAACTTGTATTTAGACTAGAAAGACGGAATAATTGAAGTTGGCACAGCCTTTTATATTTCCATCTATTTGTATAATAACACGTACCAGCCTCTTTCCTACGAAATAAATATCCCAGGTAACAAACCCAAATGGGGCCCATATGCAAAATATCTGGGCAAAGTCTTATGGGCTACCCCATATTTTTCCCTTATGGGACCCGTCTGGGCAATCACATATGGGCCTTCCCCATGTTTTACCCATATGGAGCTGATATACCAAATATATAGGCAAATATATGAGAATTCCCATATTTAAAGTACATGGGCCCCATATGATAAATACCTGGGCAGATAAATATGGAAATGCCCACATTTAATCCGCATGGGGCCCATGTGCCAAATATCTTGGGGCCGACATGCCAAAGACCTGAGTAGTTGAACATGGATGCTCATATTAATTTCGCATTGGGCCCATGTGTCAAATATCTGGGAAAATACTTATGGGCATGGAAACATATAATATACATGGGACCCATATGCCAAATACCTGGGCAAGTAAATATGGGAAGCCCATATTTAATCCAAATGCAGCTCATATGCCAAATATATAGGCAGTTACTTATGAGCATGCCCATATTTAATTTGCATGGGACCAATATGCCAAATAACTGGGCATATAATTATGGGAATGCCCACATTCAATCCACATGGATTAGATGTGCCAAATATCTGGGAAAATACATATTGACATGCCAATATTTATCTACATGGGGCCCACATGCTAAAGACCTGGATAGTTGCACATGGGTATGTCCATATTCATTTCTCAATGGGCCCATGTGCCAAATATCTGGGAAAATACTTATGGGCATGCCCACATTAATATACAAAGGACCCATATGCCAAATACTTGTAATAAATACAATACATATACAACATTAACGCAATTCAATATAATCGGCCATTTTGATGTAATTGCAGTTAACAATAACTGTGCAAAGCGGATTTTAGATGTGCTTATTTTTAAATTAACTTGCCATTTTATTCTAAATATTTTAACGGCCAAATAAATGATATGATATTAATGGCGGATTCAGGAAGGGCCCAGGGAGGGACTTTTACAGATGGAGGGGCTAAAACAATTTATGATTATCCAACTCACGATAGCCGAAAAATACTGTCTAAAACTTTGAAATTAATAAAGTTCTTACTCTATTTTCTATTATATTGTGAGAATTTTATGGGGAAATGCGGCCGGGCTGCTCTTGAATCCGCCACTGAATGTTACGTATCATCGAGACACTATTAAAAAAACACTATTAAAAAGCTGATTAAATAAAACAACCGTAATTCTATTGTTACAACGAGTCAGATACACCATGTATAAAACAAGTTCCCATGAATATGCACTGCAGTAAAGCCTCCAAAAATGTTATAGACACTACGTGACTTATTCGGTTTCAAAATGGTAACAACTGGATGTAAACACAAAATTAAGATGTGCAATAATTTCCTAACAATTTATGGAAAATTTGAATAATTTTTTTTTTATTAATCGCTTTGGGCTCAGGTGCAGAAATGTTAAGAATTTGAGATTTTTAGATCCCGGAAAAAATAATAAATACATTTTATGAAAATGGCTAGGCCTATATCGTCCTGAGCCTCATCATTATTGAGGCCGAGGTGAGAACATTTTAAGAATTTGAGAATTCTAGATATTAAGGTTAAGCTTTCTTTATTGTAGTTTTCCAGTCTCTCCAGAGACTTCCATATTACTGGTAAATGAAATGTAAATTGATCATTGTGAGTGTGACAGATTATTATGGCCTGTAATTAAATAATAACAATAATAACATGTTTCGTCATTAAATAAATACACAATTAGGCCAAAAAGATTTATGTAAGGCTAACAATATTAGAAAAAAATTTCTATCTTTATATACACGAGTCATTTAAAGATGTGTCCCTTGCAGACTAATGTCAAAAAATCTTAAACAAATAATTTTGATATAAACTTGTTCATATTGCAATAGCATACAAATTATTAACTTGTGCATAAAAATTATTGAATTTTAAAAATGTGTACCCTGATTTTTAAACGGAAAAAATTATAATAAAAATAATAAAACACTTTCAGTGACTGGAAGTGTTTCTATCTTTTTCCGCTGTAAACTGATGGGTAGACATTTTTTTAATACACTAATTTCTATGTTCAAGTTGATAACTATTATATTACTTCAAAATGGGCAAGATAATTTCAAAAAAACATTTTTTATAATTTTTTTTGTTATTTAGCATGGTACAATACATCTTTAATTTTGTTTACCAAAAAGAGCGTCAGAGGAAGTACAATTTGGCTTACAAACGATATTGAGTTGTAAATTATTGGTCCGGCCAAAACCGGACCGCTTCCGACGCCCTTGAACCCTGAATTAATTAATTATTTAGTTATTTCAACAATATTTTACGAGGGTGGTCCATCCAGCCGGAGCTGATAATTAGGGACCCTCAATACATAACCCCAGTAACAAAGGAAATATAAATAGAAAAATAAATAAATTAAAATGAAAAAAAATAATTAATTAAAATAAAAAATAATAAAATAAAAAATAAAATAACTAAGTAACAAAGGAAAAGAAATTATTACATATAAATATATTATATAAATAAAAATTAAAATTAAAATCAAATTGACTATAAAATAATTAAAAGCAGAATAAAAAGGCACAAAACAGCAAAAAATAACGAAGTTAAAAATAAAATTTAAAAAATTATATATATATTTATAAGCTAATGATAATAACATAACACAAGTAACAAAGGAAATATCAATAAATAAACAAAGAAATTAAAATGAAAAATTATAATAAAAACTAAGTAACAAAGGAAAGGTAATTATTAATTAAACATAATAATATATATATATATATATATATATACATATTCTATAAATAAAATTTAAAAAAAAATCAAATTAACTATAAAATAGTTGAAAGCAGAATAATAAGGCAAATAAAGAAAAGCAAAAAAACGAAGAAAAATTAATTTTAAGTTTTAGGGCCAGCCTGAAGAAAAGAAAAGAGAGAGAGGGGTGGGGAGAGAGAGAGGGAGAGAGAGATAGAGAATAAATGCGAAACAAACAAAAACGAAGTTAAGCAACGTTTGGTCCGATTAGTACTTCGATGGGAGACCGCATGGGAATGCAGGGTGCGGCGGTGCTCAATTGCTACGGCCATACTTCGTTGAAAACACCGGTTCTCGTCCGATCACCGAAGATAAGCAACGTCGGGCCTGGTTAGTACTTGGATGGGAGACCGCTTGAGAATGGGCCACGACTCCCCTGGATACATCCGTCCGATGATCGATCCCTGCGATCCACGTGACTGTTCCAAAGAGGTCACCTGATCCTTTGTTTGTTTCATTTATTTTTTCACACACATGCACATACATAACAAATGGGCGTTATAAACAGAACTTAAAATAGCCTACAGCTTTGTACTCATCTATGTAATATGCGTACTATGATACAGTACAGTAATATACTGCTGTATATAGGCATAATAATAAGTTTGGAAAGCGTACAGTAAATAATAAATAAATATTGGAATAAACCCACCCAGAAAATAAGCCACTTATGTATTAAAATAAAGATTGCCAGTGATACGCTGGTTTTGAATGAACTTTGGCTCTGGTGAAAAATATCAATGAAAAATTATTATATGAAAGGCTATTAAAAATGACTAGTCCGTAAATAAAACCACTTTTAGTAGTTTGTCTTTTTCGTATTTCACTAATTTTGATAACTGCCTTCAAAATGTGTTATTGCATGATGCAAAGACCGATTAGGATGCGGGTAATTTGGACCCTAGTGGAGAACGTCCCTATGATGCATGGTTACCATTGTATTGTTGTTTTTTTTGTGTGTGTTTTCTTCAAGTTTTTGTGTGTTTCTTTGTGTTTGTGCGGATTGGCCCTTGATGGCACTTGTAGCACTAAAAAAATTGAGAAAATAATATTGCTTTCTAGTATTTGTTAATTTTGTTTGATTATATTATAGTTGTCCTATATTAAGGAAAAAAATATTCATTTTTGTTAAACCAATGTTATAACAAAATTACCTTTATTATTTATTGTTATGTTAAACTAGATGAGTGAGGTCCACAGACATTTTGTTATAGTGATTAAGTTCTTCTACACCAGTTTGATTAGCAAGTAGTGATTGGAGGTCAATAGCTTGGTGGTTAAGATGATCACCTTCCTCTCCCACACTCTAAAAAATATCTGGTGAAAATTTCCTGGTTAAATAATTTTAACAATATCCTGGTTCGCTTTACTAGGGGTAACATGGTAAGGATTTGCATTCTCACATTACTTTTTATATATCTTTTTTCTCTACTTCCACAGAAACTGATCTGTCAGATGACCAATATTCTAGCATGGTGGAGTGGTTAAAGCACAACACTGAGCCACTTTCCCAAGTCAAGTCTTTCATGGAAAAAACGGCAGTTAGAAGTGCTAATGGCTGAGAGATAACCCTGGAGGGCATTTGAAGGAGTTTCCTCGCCTATTTGATACACCTGGCATGGTGGGTATATTAAATTCTGACGACTGTCATTTTAACATTAATTGTTCATCACATTGATTCTTACTGGTTATTTCAACATTTTGTAAATTATATTATATATTATTTTGGATTTGGATTGAGAAAAGCACAATGTGGTCATAATAATTTGGCAAGCTGGCTTTGTACAATAATATATTTTTCCATATACAATTATCAGAAATTTTTTTGCACTATAAACTGAACTAAGTAGTTACAAATTTTATTTTTTTAAAGGTTGAATTGGATTTTCGCGCCATATTTCCAGATGTGTCGGACAAATTGTGTATGTTGTGGACACCAGTGTATGCAGGGGAGGTACTGAAGTATGCCACTTTACAAGGCGGAAATTGGCAAACCTACTTAAACGTTAAGGAATCAATATTAAGTAAGTATATATTAACTTAGGAATTTACTATAGTTTTCTCTTTTAGACTGTTAGCAAAAAATGTTAAAAAGCCACTTATAAAGCATATCTTTGCTAATGTTTATATTTAGAGTTCTTTGAAATATTTAAAATGTACTATTATAATTAGACTTCATTTTGCACTGAGTATTCCGACATACTCCAAGATGTTATATTGTAATTGATTGGGATTATAATTAAAACTCTGTTTTTTTATGTCTAGCCTCAGATGGTAAGAAAGTCAATGTATCATTGGGACTTTTGCCTTGTATTCTGCCACCTGGAAGAAAAGCCAAGAAGAGGGCAAGTGTTGATGAGGCATTGGCCTCTTACATAGATGTTAAACCAGTAAGTTTCGATATGATGCAATAAACTTTATTTTGTAATTTTCACAACAGCATAAATATGGCTATGAGATATGGCTTCTCAATTTAGCGCTTATTTTAACAGTTTTCTGTGATTACCAACCGACGTTCATAAGGATTTAGGTACAATGTCACAAATAATGTACAGTATACTATTACTGTATATATAATATTTTTGTTATTCTAAAATATTAAAAATCATCTAAAATTAATTCAATATTGCAGAGATGATCAGTAATTAACTGTTACAATTTTTATTTTATAGGTTGGCACAAACTTACCAAAGTACTTGGAAGAAGTTTCCAATACACAGCCATATGTTTTAATATTGGGAGGATTTGCAGATCCTCTACAATGCTTCACCATTGTCGAGAGAAGAGCCATCCCTCAAGTTTCATTTCTTAAAGCCATTGATGTTTGTTTTAAGCTCTTCTACATATTAAATTTAAACTATCCATGGCAGTCCTATACTACATGGGAGTTCATACAGAAAGTTATTTATGGTTTAGAAGACACAGGAAACCACAATAAAACTTCACCAGCAGTCATAGCCATGACAGCCTTGAAAAAAGCCTCTAAAATTTAGGTTTCAGTTAAAGCACAAAATGCACCTTGAATTGATTTTTGATTTCTAAATACTGTATTGATAATAAAACATGAAAATATGTAATAACAAATATACGTTGTTTTGTCTGTCAATTGCGCCAATATACACATTACTGTATTTTAAAAATGTCAATTTAACCAGGAAATTTTGGTAATTTTAACCAGGATTGAAGTGACCTGCCTTGTAATATTAATGATTATGGTCATATTGACCATGAATAACTGGTAATTACAACCAAAAATATGGTGACATACCTTTCTGTTTTTAACTTGGATGACACTCAAATTAACCAGGAATGTTAAGGAATTAACCAGGAACAGTGTTCATAAATTAACCAGGATTATGATAACATTCACCAGGATACAGGGTTACATAAATTCACCAGGAATTCCTGGTGAAAATAACCAGGGTATGTTAGGTGGTATCTGGACATGGAATCCTGGTGAAATTTCACCACGTTCTGGTGAAATTTCACCAGGATTTTTTTAGAGTGCAGGGGACGGTCCCACACATTTTCTATTGGAACCGCATTATTTATGCATAAAGTGGGTCCACCTTGATATTGTCCAGTACTGTTTGAAAATCCTGGCTGCGGAATCTTTTTTCATATTTCATACATTTTTAGCGCCGAGAGACTCCAGTAAAGAGCGCTATATAAATGCTAAAACATCATCATCATCATCATCATCATCATCATCATCATCAGCGTCATCATTATCATCACCATTAAGTTGCTGTGGTAATTCCTTCGCCGCAGCCTAAAGGAATAACAAAAAAATAATGATAGTACTAAACTCAGTAAATCCTTGGATCAATTTGTAAGGTCCTTTATTAACAATTTACAGCAGTGACATTTTGATATACTGTACTTTAAAAATCTATGTTACACACATAGTGTGTGATACTAGAATAGTAGCAAAAGCAGCTTATCAGGAAAGGCTTCACTGTAAATTACAGTGGTCTCTGTACTTAGTTTAAAATGCTTACAGCATCAGAAACAACAATATAGAAGTAACTGCAGTAAACTTAAATTTCATTAAAATACATTTATGTAGAATAATTTCAATTTAACTGGAAATTGACTCACTGTTTTATTTATTTTTTTGAATTGTTATGTCATTGTTATGATTCCAAGTTTGGGATTTAAAATTAGAAATTGCAGCTAGTAAGCCCTTGGGGACCCATGGTGGCCATAATACAGTGCCAGTATATAATTTATACACATTTTAAGTAAAGAGATGTTCGATGAGAATTATGGTGATGATGTGAAAAATTAACGGGTGAACTTTTAATTATGTTAATTACCAATGAGCAACACACGCATTAACGGCAATGGGCTTCATTCAAAGTTATATTACCATGGAAAACAAAAATGTACTACGCAACTAACGACAATATCGCAACTGCTACTACTTTAAAACTTGCATAGTTAAGAAACAGCATCTGTGACCTGTGCCTGTAGGTTTTTATGAGATGACAAGCAGAACAATGTTGTAGGGCCTGAAGTGCACATCTAAAAAAGAAAATAACTATTATCAATAACAATTATGTATAGTTAGTCCAGTCAATCTGTGACAAAATTATACTGAACAAAGAACTAATTGCAACATAAACCATTTTTGTGTAATCTGTTCTTAAAATATATCTAAAATTCCTATAACATCTAATATTTATTTTTGTGTTCCATCCACCAACCCTTCAAGGCTGTAATTGATATTCAGGTGGCTGGCATGAGAGCTCTGGAGATTGAGTCTAAAAGTACAAGTCTCATCACGCTAGACGTGCAAGACTATTGGTATCTTTGCAAAAATGCATGTGGGTATTTGCAGTGAATCATGACAATTATAGGCTGATCGACCAACCCAGAATTAAATGTCACTTACATTTTTAAATTACATCTATCTTAAATCCATTGTATTTTAATTAACAAATTTTTAGTTAACTTTCCATTTTTTCACATTTCCATTCTAACAATGTAATCTCTTCTTAAAATATAAAATTGGAGAAAGAGAGAGAGAGGGGGGGAGAGAGAAAGGAAATTATAAATAAATAAACAAAAAAGTTATTTGTTGGCCATCTTAAACATTCTTTGTTTAAATTTCTTTATGTCTTTATTTTTCTACTGAAGGTGTGAAAATGCATTTAATATTTAAAGTATTTTTTCCCTTCACTAACTATCTGCATTAATAAATGCAAGCACACAAACACATAAGAGCTTCCAACATACCTGCAACAGCCAACATTTCAGCATCTTCAATGTAATCTGGGTCCAGGTCTGTCAGTGGTTCTTGTTTCTCTTTGTGCTTCTGGAAAGTAAATGTAAAAATATGACAACTTTATTTTAAAAGGGAAATAAGCAGGAAGAGAATCAATAAAAAAAAATTAAAATTTTATTTGTAAATTAATTATTTTATTTGTAAATTAATTAAAATTTAAATTTAGTTATAATTTAGTTAATTGTTAAAATGTAAAATAAATAATTAAATAATAATTAATCAATAATAATAATAATTAATCAATTAAATAAGTAAATAATAATATTTAATATAAATTAATGTTAAATGTAATGTTGGTATTGTAGTAGTACATAGAGGTTACACCCAAGGACCAAGGGGGCTGTACACAACTAAAGACTTAAGCCTGGTTCTCACGAGAGCCCTATGTAATGTTGTACTGTCGGTAGTATATCAAGTAACTACGCATATATTAAATGAAGTACAAACACTAGAACTCATCATATGGTTCTCTGCCTTAGGCTTTATTCATTCATCATTTTTGGCTCCAACCTTAACGCCAATAGGTGGCGCTACTGCCAATATTGTAAATAATCACAACACCACATCCCCTACGTTCACATCAAGTCCGGACCGGAATCCGGGCCCGGTTACGATTTCCGGTTGTGCGTTCACATCGCGTCCGGGGAACAAAGCGTCGGGGTCAAAGGAAGCAACCAAGTGGAACGACGTCAACATAGCTACGGTGTTGTCGAGGATGCTGTGGAAGACGTCAAAATTAGAAGAAAAATGAGAGATCCGAATGGGTCAATTCAATAAACTGAGGAAGACAGACCCCGGGACCAAACAGTGTTGATCGTGCTTCTGAGCCTGACAAATATTTACAATTTCTGTATTTAGGTAGGCCTGCCTAACTAGCTAGCTAGGACAGATGTAGGCCTGGGGGGCTAGGCCAAACTACTATGTATTTAGGCCTAGTGTAGGCCTATAGTGTATAAATCCTAGCTTCTTACCTTTTCCTTAGTATCATGTTAAATTTAAATATAACACCATGCGGCGGCAGCTGAGGTGTCGGAGGGGGGAGGGGGAAGGTGCTGTAGACCCCCATGGGACATGTCAAGCCCTCCGACGACCAGAGTTTGTTGAGCAGTCGGACCAACAAAAAAAAAGTAGGCCTAATGAAATGAAATGAGTGTTTATTGAGCTGAGTTTATTGATCTTAATTGTACTTTATAAAATACTGAAGAGTATTTTTCCAGTCTGAGAGAGCGCCATTTCTGGATATCCTGAGGTCCTGTTTGAAAAAAAAAATCTCATTAGGATACCCCCTCCCAAACCATCCACCCGGCTTGGTCGGAAGGCCCTCAGATGGCAATGCGTGCCACAGTTATCCTTATCTCACTCAGCTCCTCCCCAAAAATACATCCTACAGCAGCACTTGCACTTTAGACCTATCTAAACTACTTTATGTTGACTCTATCATGAACTATAAGCTTACCACAGAATTTGTTATAACAGTATTTATAGCATACCACTAATTTATTTTTGCAACCTTTCTTATTGACAGTTCTTAACTTTTGTGATCATTATAAATAAGCAATTCAAATTAAAAATGCAACTATTTATGAGGAACAGTACATTTTTAATTAAAATAACTAAATCAAATCAGAGTAAGCATACAAACAACAATTTTGACATTGTACAACAGATTCTTGTATTTATTAACGTTTTCACATTTATATACAAATTGTTTTCGTGGTTAAACCAGATATTATTTGAAATTTACCGACGTTAGCAAACTATAACTCTGATAGTGTTATATTTGATCATGTTAAAAACTGTGAGGCATTCCAATATGTTTTAGGATTACAGGGTATACTTGAAAATGATAATGTCGTCTGTAATATAAGTAATAAATTAGGTTTAATATTTTCTAGTACTAACATTA